TAAGGGGCTTTGTTGTTCCTAATCCCTTTGATTTATTTTAATGATTTTTCGGGAAGTGGAGAATATAACAAGGGATTGCTTAATATCTTTGATTAAAACTAAACCGAAGGATTGAGCAGATACATTGAAGATTGTAACTTGCAGTTTTTCTGTACTTTGGATTGGGGACTGAACTGGGAAAAGAACAGCTTTAAAAACCAAGCACTGTTGAAGGATTACTGCACTTTGTAAGAGCGAGATACCTGATGCTCATTGTAAATGAAGGGTCTCGACCTGAAACGTCAGCTTTCCTGCTCCTCTGATGGTGTTTGGCCTGTTGTGTTCATCCAGCTCTACACCTTATTACCTCTCTCTCTCTCGACCACAATCCTTTGATTTTCTCTGAAAAATTTCAGGACAAGAACTTATGGCTATTTCAATGAAGTTTACTTCTCCAACCAGATAATATGATGATTTTTGACTTGAGTAAATTATTCAGATTGTGCTAGAAGCAGAAACCAGGTCAACTCAGAGATTGATCCTGAAAAGAAGAGGATGACCTTATCATAAGAGAGCAACAGAATCTGTTCGATTTATATGGAACAAACACTGTCCAGACACGTGTCACAAGCCAATGCAAAATATAGAATCCCTACAGTGTGGAAACAGGCCCTTTGGCCCAACCAGTCCACACTGAACCTCAAAGCATCCCACCCAGACCCACCCTGCTAAAACCCACCTAATCTACATATCCCTGAACACTATGGGCAATTTAGCATGGCCAATCCACCTAGCATGCACATCTTTGGACTGAGAGAGGAAACCCACGCAGACATGGGGAGAATGTGCAAACTCCACACAGACAGTCACCTGAGGGTGGAATTGAACCTGGGTCCCTGGCCCTGTGAGGCAGCAGTGCTAACTACTGAGCCACCGTGCTGCCCCATATAGGACAAACAGCAGATATTAAGGGTCAGTGGCAGTTCTGTGGAACAAAAAAGACTCACAAGGACAAGCAGTTCTCAACAATGACAAAAGATTGCTACATCTGTAAATTGATAGGTCACTTCCAGAAGACGTGCAGAAGAAGGACACAGTTTCAGAGCAGCACAAAAAAGTGCTTACTCACACAAAAAAGGTTAACGTGACTGTATGTCCATCACTGGAAAAGACTCCAAAGGCATTCCTTGGGGAAGCTACAGATTAACCAATCCAAGGGTTTTGACAGAATTTATCTATGTCAATAAACCTTCTATTCATTTTAAGCTTCATACAGGAAGGATTGTCATTGTCTGATCAGCTCAAATACCATTCCTTAAGAAATAAAAGAGATGAAACTGCATGGACCAGACGGACTAATTCTCAAGAGTAAAGGTATTTGCAAATAACATTGCAAAAATGTAAGTGTGTAAGAGAATTGGAAAAATCTACAGAATTCATGATCAACACTCCTCATTTTAGAGTCTATACACATCTCTTGGCCTCAACATTCTTGTGGTAGGAGATGGAGTTCCACCAGTTACAAGTGAACAACTGGTTCATAGACAAGTTATTGTTGAGCAACTGGTAAAAGAATATCCGGTAGAAGACTTGTGATGGAACCTAAACAGAAGAAAGAATCTATGGAGATTATCTACAATGGCCTAAGAGAATTGTTTTATACCATCAGCTGGAAGGAAGGCAGTGACATTTACAGGAGTTATAGAAGACAGATCAAAGAACAAAAATATTGGCAAGGTCTGCCAGAAGAACCACATGCTGAGAACAAGAAACAGCAGTGCAACCCACTTGAACCCACTGAGGTGACTAGAACAAAATTGTTCAGAAAACAACAAATGCTGGAGATCACAGTGGTTCAGACAGCATCCATGGAGAGAGAACAGGCTAATGTTTTGAGTTTAGATGACTCTTCTTCATCTAGATTCGAAACATTAGCTTGCTCTCTCTCCATGGATGCTGCCCGACCTGCTGTGATTGCCAGCATTTATTGTTTTCAGTTCAGATTCCAGCATCTGTAGTAATTTGTTCCTGCACTGAAATTATTAAAAAGACTCATGAAGAAAATTGATACAGCTGTTTCAACCTTGTTCTCAGGTGACAGGCCAACGCAAGCTCAAAGGTAACATTTCAATCTTTGGTTTTTGAGGAATTATCAGTATCACTGACAGATAATGCTAAATAAGCAAAGACCTCTCGTATCACAATTGAGGGTGTGAAACTGTTCAGTTCACCAAGATCATATCCAGAGGGGAAATGAAGACATCCAATACTCAGCAAGTTGAAGTAAAGAATTTACATACTTTCAACAGAGATGTATCCATTGTTTGAGAGTAAAATGGAGATAAGCTGGATACAATTCCATGGAAGCCAGACCAATGTCCATAGAGTCAGAACACAGTCAAAAGAACTGCCTGGTCTGAACATCCAGGATACTTCAGGGAAGAAAGATGAAAACATTGTAACAAAGCTACTGTCTTCTGTGAAGGACACTAAAGATCCTCCACAATGATGTTATGGACAATTATCTGAGATAGCAGGGAATTTCAGAAGAGTGAGCATTCTCTAGATAACAAGATAACGGATCAGTTACTGGGTTTAGAAGGAGAACCTGTTTCTCGAAGGGTGAGGGAGGTAATAGTTCTGAATGGGTTATTCGGAGAGACTGCTTCAGGCTTCACTCAATCTGATGGTGTCACACAATCTTGGGTAGAGAACTGGAGAGTCCAGTGCAAGATCTTGATGGGGTCAGACTGTTATCGCTGGTTCCATGTCTGTTTAAAATTAATCCATGGGGTGTGGGCATCGTTGGCTGGGCCAACATTTATTGCCCATCCTGAGATGCCTTTGAGAAAATGGTGGTGAGCTGCCTTCTGGAACCCCTGCTCCTTTTGGTACAGGAACACCCACAATGCCCTTGTCTTTGTAACTATGTCTTACGAGACAAAGCAACATGCAACTATTTTTCTGTTATGCAATTATCTCCACATTGTTGTTAAGACAAGTACTTCTTACTCTTAAGACTCAAAACTGGTACAACTGACCCTTACATCCAGTATAGAAAGGAGGATTAAGGGTTCCTGTGGCACAGTGTTAACTATCACCTTATTTCTTTATTTTTCTACTTATTCTATGGAGATAATGCTTAGCTTTTTAACTGTTTCTCTTACTATTTTGTACCTATCTTTTTTGTACCTAGGTACCTTTGTACCTATGATGATGCCTTGTGTGGCAACATTACACATTTTTCACTGTACTCCTGTACTTGAGTACATGTGACAATAAAAATAACCTAAAATCTAAATCAATGGTAGTGTCCCTAGCTCTGAGCCAGGAGGCCTGGGTTCAAGTCCTACTTGCTTCAGAGGGGTGCAAGCGACATCTCTGAACAGGTTGATTAAAACTAAGGAGGATTTCTGCAAAATGCTCCGTCAGGGCTGGTCAAAGTTAGTGGCTCTAAGAGTAGAAAGGAGGATTGGTGGCAGCACTCTACCCCATAAGCTGCCAGTGGGTGCGTGCAGAATAGATTCTTGTCAGGCAAGATTTAGTAAGGGGAGCCAAAACTAAGGCAGGGATTGATACAGACCCGCTACAATCTCACTGAATGGTGGGAGAAATTCAAAAGGCTGAATGACTTCCTCCTGTTTCCATGCTTTTTTTTTCCATAACCAAAATAGTTGACAGTGCCAGACAGAACAAATGATGAGAATAACCCAAGCCACTTTTACTAAGTCTCAAGGAACTGCATTCTGATGCAATCTAAGCTGAGCTGCAGGACTCTTTAATAGACTAGGTTCACTCCACACTCAACTAGTTGTCTTGTCTGTACCAGCCTGTTTCAACCAGCTTCATGTAGGAATTACTAACAAACTCTACTTTTAGCTGTGGCTTCTGTACAGAACCAAACCCATTGAGTAAGCAACAGAATCTGTTTCAGTGTAAATGTTGTTTAAGCAATAACGAGCAGTACTTTAGAAATTATGGCCAGTAATGCAGCAAGTCATTTCTGAATCTGGATGAGACACTTAATTCCTCTGTGTTCTTTGATTCAAATGGGTATGCGGTTTTTAAAACAACAATTGACACTCAAGTTCTCACCCTGGCAAATTCTACGGTTAGGACAGATGATCTGATACTATTGCAAGAAGTTAGATGCCATATTGCACAACCAATAGAATGCGGATTAGCGAGCTTCTGCACACAACAGTACATAGACTGAGATAGTAGGAACTACAGATGCTGGAGAATCTGAGATAACAATGTGTAGAGCTGGATGAACACAGCAGGCCAAGCAGCATCATAGGAGCAGGAAGGCTGACGTTTAGGGCCCAGACCCTTCATCAGAAATGGGGGAGGAGAAGGGGGTTCTGAAATAAATAGGGAGAGAGTGGGAGGCGGATAGAAGATGGATAGAGGAGAGGAAACAGACAGGTCAAAGAGGCGGGGATGGAGCCAGTAAAGGTGAGTGTAGGTGGGGAGGTAGGGAGGAGATAGGTCAGTCCAGGGAGGATGGACAGG